CTAGGTATTCAGCTGTGTGTCCGATGGATGCTGATAAATTAATATTACTATCAAGCTTATTCCAATGGTTCACAAGACCTTTAAGTGTATCAACATATACATTAGACATGATGAATAGATCATCAATATATCTGTAGTATAGTGAGTTTGCTCTGATAGCCCATTTCGATATTGGCCGTTCTACAAAGTACATGTATGCATTTGCTACTGTGAGAGTGAATGGAGAGCCCATCGCTCCTCCTCTTATCTGTTTATAATATAAGCCATCTAGGTAGAAACAATTGTTGGTCATGACAAATCTGGCAAGAGCTAATATAATCTCTTTTTTAACACTATCGATTTGATTTATATTTGATGCTTCCATCAGTTTTCTTATGGCTTTGACTCCGCCTTCTTGAGGAATCATTGTATATAAATCAGTCACATCCATTGTTATAAATGATGTGGCGGATGTCAGATATCTAGCTGACCATTGTTCGATTTGTTTAACGAGTTTACTACCATTGAGAATGGTTGTCTCGTTTTCTAATCGATTAAATAGAGATCTTAATAGACCGTCTAACCATCTGAATATGGCCATAGTGGGCGATTTTAAACCTGCCATATTATTGGTTTTAATGGTGTCTTAGGTTTATGAGCTTTTGGCAGGCAGTACAGGTGAGCTATTTCAGCCTGCTCTTTTACTACCTTTAGTCTTTCATATGGCTTCTGTGTAATATGTTTATTCCTCCATAAACCATATAAGAACTCGTTTGTTTTATTGACTAGAGATTCAAGTGGGTTGCTTGTACCCAAACCTTGATACGCTTGAGTCTGATTCATATATGCTCGAGCTTTCTCCTTAAAATCATCTAGTTTTCTTAGATGGAAAACTTTGGATTTATCTGTTTTTCTTATGACTGTTTTTGTTGTGTCGATTTTAATTCTTCTGATGGAGGGTGTCTATCGCGACAATCGGTAAGGATCTTTCCAAGTGAATCTTTGAAAATCTGTAACCGTTGATTCGGTAGTACACATCCATGTACAACGAACCTTCAATTGATTTTCTTAATTACCAACTCTATCTCATTGTTCATACTCCTTTTCCATAAATTACGTGACGATTCTCTTTCAGATACAAGTATCACGAACATAACGCCCATTGGCAGTTCCAAAAGACAGCATAATCTACATCATTACTTAGCTGAACGAAACCATATCGTCGGGTGTTGATAGTAAGAATACCGTGCCCAATAACTACACCAACAATCATGCGTATTTACAACAAAACGTCCACAGAATACTTCTAGTGAAATCGTACCTGTAGTGGCAACAAGTTGGCACCAGCGACATAACAATAACAACAATGGACTAATGCAATTTTTTCATCGTTCTAAAATACAAATATTTTTACTTGTACCATCTACGAGGCTACTTAAACCCCTACATTTCTTTCTTATTGTTGTTGCAATAATAATTTTTTTCTAAAAACTTATTAAATCTAGTTTCTGACAAAGACAAGTCTCAAATTAACAGAAATCAGTCAATAAACTCTACCAAACCTCGAAAAACTTATAAATTAATTATCTCCGATTTCGACAAAGTGTAAAAGAAAACGATAGATTTTCTTTGAAAGACAATAAACCAACTAATCTTATATATATATCCAGTGCTCGTTGTCATATCCCGTGACATACCATGTTACTGGGTTCGTCTTGAACAGTGGTCGTTGTCATTTCTGATGACATACCATGTGTTATTCAAAGTCCTAAATAGTGGTCGTTCTCATTTCTCGTGACATATGATGCTGCTTGGTTGATCCTTGATAGTGGTCGTTCTCATTTCTCATGACATACCATGTCGTGCTGAATGTCCTAAATAGTGGTCGTTGTCATTTCTGATGACATACCATGTGGTGCTGAATGTCCTAAATAGTGGTCGTTGTCATTTCTGATGAGATATCATGTGGTGCTGACAGTCCTAAATAGTGGTAGTTGTCATTTCTCGTGACATAGCATGCTGCTGGGTTGGTCCTAAATAGTGATTTTTGTTATTTCTCATGACATTGCATGTGATGCTGAAAGTCCTAAGTACTGGTTGTTCTCATTTCTGATGACGTGCCAGGTGGTGCTGCAAGTCCTAAATAGTGGTGGTTTTAATTTTTCATGCGATGCGATGTGTTTGTGAAAGTCTTAAATCGTGGTTTTTCTTGCGTCCTCATTGGATAAGTTTGTGATATGGTTTGTGATGGATTGTAGAATTTTTTTCGTTTATGTTCGGTGAATTAAGTATATATTCGGTTTTTGTTGTCGTTTATTTTTTAGAATATTTTGGCCTTTGATTAAAAACAATTATTCTGCAGTTGCAGTAAGTATTTTTTTTTATATTTTATTTTTGTTTCGGAGGGGTAAGTGGGACCTATTCAAAGTGGTCGTCTTTTATTTTACTTTTGATGAATTATATATGTATTTACTCATTTGTTTTTCTGTGCTTTAGAATAGGCTCGGGTGTCGATGAAGAAGAATTAATCTGAAATAACTCGATATAAGTGTTGCAATAATTTTAATTTTTTTTTGTTTCACGGATGCAACTTGGAATTATACAAATTGGTATGTTTATATTTTCGTTTATCTAGTATAATTTAGGTACATTTATTCTTTTATGGGGATTTTCTTGTTTAGGATGTGTTCATGTTTTCTTCCAATGCAAGCGCAATAAATACAAAATACCTATGAATAAGTATTAATATATATAATGTTCGCATGTTTTTCCAGAGGTGCAGCTGGAAATGATCAACTTACCGTTATTTTAGTTTTTTCTGTTATTTAACACATGTAAGCTACGTTTTGCATTCTGTTTGCTCCTCTCGTTTTTAGAACGTGTTTGTTTTCATCTTCAACAATCCATGTAAAATGACTGCAAGTATGTATTCAAATAAATAATGTTTTCTTTTTTTTTCATTTCAGGGATGCAAGTTTGAACTAAACTAAGTATAATTATTTTCTTTTCGTTTCCTCTAATTTATTTTAAGAATCTATGTATTTTATTTTTGTTTCTTCTCTTCTTTAGAATGTGTTCTCGTATCATTCATGAGCAGCAATCATAATCTTTAGTTGGTACAAGTAACTATTCTAATTAACAATAATTTCTTTTCGTTTCAGGGAGAAAAGTGGAAAATATACACATTAAAATCAATTGTATTTTCGTTTACTTCACATAAACAAAGTAAATCTTCATTTTTTCGGGTTTTTCTTTTCTTTGGAATGTTTTTCACATCGATCATGAACGATCGTACATAGTTGAACGTATTTAGAAGTAAGTATTCAAATAAACAACATTTGCTTTTCTTTTCGTTTCATAGATGCAAGTTAAAATTCCACAAATTCCAATTATTTCATTTTGTTTTATTTTATCTAGAATAAATATATGGCGTATTCATTTTTTCTCTCTTCTATGTTTTAGACTGTATTCGCATTTCGATCATGAACAATCAAATAATCTAAAATAACAATAAGTAAGTATTCAATATCTTTTTATTTTCATTTCAGTGGTGCAAGTTGAAATCTTCCTAAGTACAATCATTCTATTTCATTTTTCTCTAATTTAACATAAATTCATTGTATTTTCCTTTTTTCTTCTTCTTTAGACTGTGTTCGTATCGATCATGAACAATCCACCTAGTAAAATAACTATAATTAAGTATTCAATATTTTATTTTCATTTCAGTCGTGCAAGTTTCAATTATACAAATTACACTTCACTGTTTATCTGACTTGTATAAACTATATATTCAAATTCTTTTTCTTCTCTTGTTTAGAATACTTGTTCACTATTCGTTTCTTGTTTGGCTTGTGCAATGGTGAATTGAAAGATAAATTTATTATTATATCAAATCTTTTTATAGCTTTGCTTCTTTCCTTTTTTTGATCTAGATCTTCTACTTTTTCTTTTGTTTTGAACGGTTATAACAATGGCTAAGAATCAGAGTGTATAAATGGGTATATGATGTTTTGGTGTGAAACTTAATCATTGAACGTCGTCGATTCAATCCAACAACATAAGTATATAACTTTTTTGCAAATAAATAACACATTTTTCTTTTTTTTTCAGTGGTGAAAATTACAATTTTACGATTTCCTATATTCTGAGTATCTAACATGAATTTCTTCTCTGTTTTTAGACTGTATTCGCGTTTCGATCATGAACAATCAAATAATCTCAAAAACTATAGCATGTATCAAATATTTTCTTTTCGTTTTCAGGGGTGCAAGTTGAAATCATCCTAAGTACAATGATTTTATTTTATTTCTCCTTTATCTAACTTTTAAATAAGCTATATATTAAATTTGTGTTGTCTCTTCTTTAGAATTTGTTCCTCTATCTATCAAGAACAATCAATATAAAATAACTCTAGATAAGTATTGAAATAAACAGTTCTTTCTTTTTGTTTCAAAGTTCGAAGTTACACTTTTACTGACCACAATGGTTTCTCTCTTTTGTAACATAAAGGAACGAGATAGTAAATTGTTTTCTTTTTCTCTTCTTTTAGAATGTGTTCACATTGATCAACAGCAATAATGTTATTAATAGGGAAATATTCAATATATTCCAAATTTATTATTATATCAAATGTTTTTAAAGATTTACTTCTTTCTCTTTTGTTTTAGATTGTCATTTCTGTTTCTGAAAATGATTGACAAATGGTTACGAATCAAAATGTATAATTAATTTTTAAGATAAACAATATACTTTTTTTATTCATTTCAGCGGCGCAACTTACAATTTTTCAATTTTTTATATTCTTGGTATCTAACATAAATCTCTTCCCTTTTTTTAAGACTGTGTTCGCGAATCGATCATGGACAATCAAATAATCTAAACTAACAATAAGTAAGTATCCAATATTTTCTTTTCGCTTTCGTTCGGTGGTGCAATTTGATATTATACAAATGGCAATATTTCTTTTGTTTTCTTCTATGTAACTAACATATAGAAACAAGATAATAAATATTTTCTTTTGTTTTAGAATGTGTGTTCACATCGACCAACAACAATAATGTTATTAGTTGTCAACTAGTAAATATATTCCAAATTTATTATTACATCAAATTTTTTATACCGAGATTTACTTTTTGCCTTTTTTTTGTTCTAGATTTTCTACTTTTCTTTTCTTTTTTTGAACGGTTGGCAAAATGTTAAGAATTATACTGTATAAGGAACTATAAGTAATATTTAAAATAAACAATATACTTTTCTTTTTCATTTCAGTGGTGCAACTTACAATTATCTAATCATGTTTTGTATCTAACTTAAATAAACTCTATATTCATTTAGTTTTCTTTTCTCTTGTTTAGTTATATTCATTTGATTTACTTTTACCTGTTTTTTTCTCGTTCTAGATCTTCTATTATGACCCTCAAGAATGGTTGACACTTATAATTAAATATCAAGTGTAATGTGTTGGCATCCTGCTTCTGTATAATATAATCATTCGATGTTCTTTTTCGTTTCAGATGTACAATTTTCTATTATTATTATTCTTTTTTTTTAATTTAAAATAAATA